AGAGAAAACATTCTCCCGGGCCTTTTCTTTTCTCGACACTTTTTACCCGGGCTGTGAAGGACCTTTTCTTTTTTCGACACTTTTTACCCGGGCTGATTTGTTTCTTTTTTTCTCTGGTTGTGGATCAGAGGCGGGAAAAAAAGTCCCGCCCTAAACGAAGGTGGGGGGGGAGGTGCCAGATCCCCTTGGCTCCCTTCCGGATCCCTTTGGAGAAATTTCCATTCGGGGCGAGCCCCCGGACGTAGTTCGCATCTTCCGGCGCACCTTCTGGAGCCTTGCCCATCCCCCGCCCCTTGCCTATATCGTGGTCGTGGCGAACAGGGCCAAGGTGTCCTCCCAGCTGTAACATGCGGCCAGCTAGTATTGGCTTGGACGCTAAGGGAAAGTTCGAGTGCTCCATGTGTGTCTCAGCCACTTTACAGATACGGACGGGATTGGCTCGAAAACGCTAAGGGAAAAATCCCGTTGGCGCGCTCTCGGGGGGTGGGGAGGGGGGGGGGGGTGGGTGGGGGTGGGAAGGCAGAATTCGGGGGGGGGGGGGCCTACAACCGGAAACCAAAACTTAGTGGGTGGGGAAGGCCTGATTGGAGAACTTAACGCGTCCGGGGAAGGGTCTGACGAGGCACTTAGTGGCACGGGTGCAATGCGATCCTAACACTTTATGCAGTCGAGCTGGAGCGAAAGTAACCCGGAATTTCAGGGCATTAAGGGCATATGCCCGTCAATCGACAGGCCTGGTGGTGACGCACTCACAGCGCCCGCCCTGCGGAAAGATTTCCCTTCCGCAGAGGCCTTCGTTAACGATCTTCCCCCACGCTACACCACGAAGCAATCACACATACAGCACAATATGTAAACAGAGTTGTAGGCAAAGGTGACATCGTTGTGAAATGGTTCCATCCCAACAATGTGGGCTTGCTCAACAAGTGCGCTCCGACCTGGCTTCCTGGATATCACAGCCACCAAGATGGTGCAAACTGCTACACTGTCACTATTAGCTCCCCACTCACTCCCAGCCTAAAACACTTTCTAATAGTGGCACTTCCGGTGCAGTACTGAAGTCCAGCACGCAGTGAGCTTACTATACAGAGGAACATATTCACATAAATCAATCCTGTATCTTCAGCTTATCCCTCTCTTCTTTAGCTTTCAAGACCTTTGCTACCCACAGCCACCAGGCTGGCTTGGTGCCTATCTTCCTTGTGCTAAAAGCTGCTACAGCATTCAAGAATAGCACCCCACCTTTCACGGACAGCCCTACCAGAAGGAGAATCACGGCCACTCGACTTGGGTCGCTGTTGGCCATTACGGAAATTCCAAACACCGCCGGGAGAACAGGCAACGCAAACACATCCAGACCTCCGCAACATTCCAGCATCCCAAGTCCCATAGCATCCACTTCATTTTTGGAAGAAGCTTGAATCTCTTGTACTTCAGTAGCCAGGAAAGTTGTGATTTTTTTCTCGGCCATGTTGCCAACACCAGCTATTGCATGCCCCTTGAAGAGGAGAAACATTAAAGAAGTCAAGCTCACTACGATGAAGCTCGCTCCAACGAAGATTCTCGACATGACTGCTAGCACCATGACGTGCTTCGGCGGGAAAATAGCAATGCATCCAAGGAAGCTGGCCAGAAGCAAGTGCAGTAGCGAAACGTCCACTCCGTTAAGACTGACATCAGACGAGCTCCCTCCAACGCCAATATTATCCGGGTTTGGAGGAACCGTGGATGGAGGGCGCAGGGGCGTCTTGCAGAATGGAGATGACGGACGGCTGGGATTGCACAGGTCAAGCTTCCGCGGCGTCACGTTATCAGCAAGTATGAAGCTGTTCTGCGGTGAGACGGATGGGGAGCTCTTGCTGCTGCTGCTCCAGGAGCTGCACGGGCTGGTGCTGAACGCCGGGCTGCTGCTGAGAGCCTGACTTGGTTCAGACTGTCGCGTGTGATGACGAGAGCAAAACTTCGATGGGTAAGAAGGCGGCAAGGCGGAAGGGGACGATGAACACACCCTCCCCCCTTGCGCAGGTAAAAATAACCAGCTTCGACGGCGGCGAGTACCACCCGAGGAAACAGGCCGGTTCTCGAAACCATAATCCGCGAGTTTCTCAAACATCGACTTCTCCGGAAACTCATCTTTCGTCGAGAAAACGTCGTCTCCGGTATCATGACTCATCGGATGATGCACATTAGTAGTAAGGGCCGCGAGATTGTCTGGGTAAGAAAACCGCCGACAGATTGTCTGATGATTGCCCCTACTATGATCCAAGACTTGCAGTCGCCGCCAGTAGAAGCCTTTGAAATGGTCTTCTCGAGCGGGTAAACACCGCTGCAGCCTAGGCAGCTGACGATCAGGCGTGGGGATAGTGGATTTCACGGGACCGCAGCCGCTTTCGACCTCTGCAGCCTCCTCGATACGGCTCATGATGTCGGACATCGATGTCGCGCTTCTGGCGTGCCGCGAGCTGGTGGTTCTTCGCCAGAAGGATGTGGTGGTGTGACGGCCCGGGTGCGTATCCATGATTGGCCTCGTTGGACTCGCCATCTGTTTTTCATACATCCTGAGGGCGTTGCAAAGTCAGATATAACTATCTGGAGGCCGCCGCAAAACTCCTATTTCTTTCCTAACAAGCGTTCGCATTCGATCCGATGATGGTGGTAGCTGAACAGTTGCCGGCTTCACGGGCGATCGCATTCAATCCGATAGAAGCGAACAGTCGTCACCAAGTAACAAAGCTTACCGAGTTAGTAAGCTTCACACGGCGTTACTACAGAGGCTCAGGATTCAGGAGCCATGATGAAGGAAACAGAGGCTGTCTTGTTAGTCCAGTGTTGGCGCGGTGTTACTGCTATTCCCACAGCCAGTGTGCGTGTCGGTGAAAAAGCAACTTTGCGGGGATACACTTCGCATCTAGCTTCCGTTCGAAACGGTGACGTTCCGTTGCTCCCTTTCGCTGGGCCTACTGCTGTCCCTCTACGAGAGCCTTTATCGCGAAATTCTTCCCAACCAGGCGTCGAACACACCGAACCATACAAGCGTGTCCAGCACCTCTGTCCCGACCTACCCCTACCCTGACCTGCCCTGTCCGTGGAAATTGCGTGGTCGCCACCCTCCTCAAGCCACACTTTCGAGTCTGCTACGCATCGCGTGGCTTGCTCTTGCTTGTTACTACCCTCAGCTAACGGCGTGTTGCAATTTGCGGTGCACTGCATCGGCTCGGCTCGTGGCACGGGTTTGGGAAGGCTCGAGGAACGCAAGAGGCCGTAAAATTTCACAGAAAACGCGCAAAGAAAATCTATGTCCTAGTATAACCTTGGCAAATAACTCTTTGAATCAGTATCTTGAAACTTTGCTTTCCCGAATCAGTGCCCGTGTTTGACCTCCCGCCTGCCTGGAGCCTACCAAACGTCCCGAGCCGATGCAGTGCACCGCCAATTGCAACACGCCGTAAGCATTTGGCTTTCCCTGTCCCCTGTCTTCCGCTGCCCCAGTTACTAGAATGATTGTTCCACATCGTTGATCTCAACCAGCTGCTTCGCCGCCGTTCGATTGCGATTCAGACGGGCTTTACTTGGCACCCACTCCGGCTTAGACCTAGGCTGCTTTCCCGAATTGAGGGATTTCGCTACAGCTCCATTGCCGAAATAATCAAGGACTTAGTTGTTGTGGTTGTGCAGAACCTCCTTAGCACTCCTCTCTGCGCTCTGGCTGGCTTGCCGACTTTCAGGTCGGGCAACTTTAGAGAGTTTGGGCATGTCAGACACATCTGTGCGGCCAGAACTTCGACAGCCCTTCGTGGCAAAACTAACCGGATTGTGACGCCCGAAAGGAATCTGGCGATTACCGCAAAATCGTTCAGATCCGTAACGAGCTCGCCACCAACGGCCGCCCAGTCAGGTTATGACGAAAACACTACCCTGGTAACTAGCGAAAGCACTACGATTTGAGGTTGTTGGTGACAGACGGACAGCTCACCAAAAGGTTTCCCCTCCGCAGAGCCCTTCGTTAACGATTTATACCCCGCTACACCATGATGCAATCCTCCATGCAGCTTAATTTGTACACTGAGTTGTAGGGAAAGGTGATGTTGGGATTGGGATGTTTTGGTGGACAGGATAAAGATTCAATATGCAATGTGTCAATTAGGTCGTTCAAGTATGCCCTGCAATAACGGGAAACGGAGCTCCCAATGTTCACCCCTGGGATTCTCCCACGAGCCCGCATTCATGGACTCCACATCATTCCAGCTCCGCTTCACAGATAACCAGTTACTGTCTCCTCCCAGCATTCTAGTAACCATCTATCTACAAATCGCCTATTCATGGTAGCTTCCGCCTTGTGCCTCGTGTAACGTGCCCTCCGCTGCACGCGGCGTTTATACATCGAACAGCATTACGAAGCCAGCAAAGCATGATCTCGGTGAAGCCAAGTGTCCAGTGCTCCATTCCGTACCCTCACCCGAAACGTCAGTATGACGCTCTTAGCGGAAAACACGGAGTCAGCCTGAGCTGGTCAGCCAGCCTCAATCCGTTTCCGAGTCGGCAGGCTTTAAGAAATGATTCAGACGGTCTCAACTGGTCAAAATCTCGCGTTCAAGCTGCCGCGCGCACTGGCAAGAGCGGTCGGGTCGGCTCGCGAACCAGCGGCGGGAAACGGAGCGGAAGGGTGGCAACGAAGCCCGCGCAGCAGCCCCCGTCCGCACGGCGTGCCCGTCGATCCATCCGCGTTCCGCTGCCGTCCTCTGGCCCGCTGAACCCCCCCGAATGGGCTCAACAGGTGCGCTGCTGCGCATTAACCATGCGGTGACCATCCCTAGCGTTGGTGCAGTTTCGAGCCGTCTCGTAATCTCATGACGATGCAGCTGCAGCTGCAGCCGTCTCGTAATCTCATGGTTGCCACGAGTCAATTTCCCGTGTAATACGGGGGCCCGTCGCTCTCAGCGAGAATAGGTCACTCCCCCGCTCCCGCTACAATAATCCAGTTTTTAAGAAGTTTATAGGAAATGCTGGAATGGAGTGTCCCTCCTATCCCTCCCGTTAGAGCATCCGCCTTGTGCGGGGTAGGGAGCGCACTACTGCGTTCTTGAGTCGACTCAAACTTTACAACGTCCCTTCCCTTCTCCACTCCTCTCCCCTCCCCTCCCCTCTCTCTCTCTCTCTCCAACCACCCAGGCCATAGAGCAGCAGCCATGGAGGGGGGGATTGGAGCCATGTGGGGAGCACGACTACACGCTCTCCCCCTCCAACCCCGCACACGTCATCGGGACGATACCAGAGGCGCTGCAGGGCACGCTGTACCGCTGTGGGCCGGGGCGGATTCGCGTGTGCCGGGGGAAGGGACTGGAGCCGTGTGGGGAGCACGACTACACCCTCTTGAGTCACCGCAAATGTCACATCTCCCTCCCCTCCCTGACTCTTCTCTCTCCCACGTCTCAGGCCATCGAGCAGCAGCCATGGAGGGGGGGGTTGGAGCCGTGTGGGGAGCACGACTACACGCTCTCCCCCTCCAACCCCGCGCACATCACCGGGAGGATACCAGAGGCGCTGCAGGGCACGCTGTACCGCTGTGGACCGGGGCGGATTCGTGTGGGCGGGACCAAGTTCGGTCACTGGTTCGATGGCGATGGCATGGTGAGTGAGTGGAGTGAGTGTGCGAGAGAAGGGTAAGCATTGCATTGTGAGAGGCGCTGCAGATGGCATGTCGAGTCTGTAGTGTAGAGTGTGCAATGTGGGGATGACATGGGGAGCAAGCATGCTCGTGGTGTGGGGTTGACATGACAAAGCAAGTGAGTTGAAATGCGAGCACTGTTGAACCTCAGTCATTTGATTCACTCCCACACTCTCTCATCTCCCAAGTCCTCATTCCCCTCACACACCCCCCCCCGTCGTTTCCACGCCGTCTCCTCTCCCAATTACCCGTCCCTCGCATCCCAGGTCTACGCCTTGCATCTGGACGGCCCAAACGGTACAGCAAGGTTTGTCTGCAAGTGGGTGCGCACATCAGCCCTGGAGCAGCGGGGAGGACCAGAGTTGGAAGCAGGGGAGGGGAAGGGGGAGGACACGGGGATACGCGTGAAGGGTGCGTGGACACAGGCCACTGCTGGAGGACTGCTCAAGAACGTTGGGCTGCCTGCTAACCCCGTCAACACCAGGTGAGGTGCCAGTTAACCAGAGGCAGCAGGGAGGGGAAGGGGAAGGGGAAGGGGAAGGGGAAGGGGAAGGACACGGGGATACACGTTAAGGGTGCGTGGACAAAGGCCACTGGTGGGGGACCTCTCAAGAACGTTGGGCTGCCAGCTAACCCCGTCAACACCAGGTGAGGTGCCAGTTAACCAGAGGCAGCAGGGAGGGGAAGGGGAAGAGCACGGGGATACGCGTGAAGGGTGCGTGGACACAGGCCACAGGTGGAGGGCCGCTCAAGAACGTTGGGCTGCCTGCTAACCCCGTCAACACCAGGTGAGGTGGTGAGAGGATACAATGATAAGATGTTGGGAGGGTGAGTTGTTCCTCGCAAGTTTCTTCCCCCCTCCCACAGCCCTCGCTTTGGGTCGACGCAAAACCACCCCACCCGAGCGGCCTCCTTGCCCCTCCCCACCAGCACCATCCACTTGGCAGGCAGGCTGCTAACTCTACACGAAGGTGGCCAACCATTCCTCCTCACTCTCTCTCGCTTTCCTCTGCTCCCACTCACCCCCCCACCAGCACCATCCACTTGGCAGGCAGGCTGCTAACTCTACACGAAGGTGGGCCACCATTCCTCCTCGACTCCACCACCCACTCCCCCTGTCACCCTCTCTCGCTTTCCTCTGCTCCCACCCACCCCCCCACCAGCATCACCCACTTTGCAGGCAAGCTGCTGGCTCTGTGTGTGAGGGCGCCTCGCCATTCCTCCACAAGTCCACCCACTCCCCCCTTTGTCCACACCCTCCATCCACCTCCCCCATTCCCCCCCACCAGCATCACCCACTCCACTTTGCAGGAAAGCTGCTGGCGCTGTGTGAGGGCGGCCCGCCATTGCTCCTGAACCCACTCCTGCTGTCTCTCTCCCCCGCTTACCTCTCCTCCCACCCCCCCACCAGCATCATCCACTTTGCAGGAAAGCTGCTGGCGCTGTGTGAGGGCGGCCCACCATTCCTCCTGGACGCACAGTCACTGAGCACAGTCGGCCCCTACTCCTTCCCCAACCTCGCTCTGCCCTTCTTCTCCGCCCACCCCAAGCTCGACCCCGCCACTGGAGGTGAGCCCCGGCTTGTTGCAAGCTGCGGTTTTTAAGATTTCTCACAGACCACCCTCCAATCCAACGAGCTGCGGAGCGCGTGAGCAGTGTGGATACGATACGGCCCTTCTCCTTCCCCAACCTGGCTCTGCCCTTCTTCTGCGCCCATCCCAAGCTCGACCCTGCCAGTGGAGGTGAGCGGGAAGCAGGCGAGCAAGCAGTTGGATTTGGAGGGTGGGGTGAGGGCTGTGGCACATAGATCTCCGACTCCGAGCAAAATCCGTTTTGTTTTGGACTTCTCAAAAAATACATGATTTGGAGGGTGGGGTGAGAGCTGTTTTGTTTTAGAATTCTCGAGAAAAACATGATTTGGAGGGTTGTGGCACATAGATCTTCGAATCCGAGCAGCGTTCAGCGACTCTCCTTCCCCGACCTGCCTTTCTTCTCTGCGCATCTTCAGAGCTGTACAACTTTGGCAGTGTGCTGTTCGGCATGCAGCCATTCGCCCTCTTCTTCTCTGCTCATCCCAGCCCCCGCCTGACCCATGCCAAACCACCCATCCCCACCCCACCCCCACCCCCCGCATCCACCCACCCCGCCCTCTCTCCCCACCAGAGCTGTACAACTTCGGCAGTGTGCTGTTCGGCATGCAGCCATTCGCCATCGCAGCGGACGGGCAGCACACACGCATGGGCGCACTGCAGGGCTCGCCAGAGGTGGCACTCGTGCTTCCCACCCGCCCCCAATCCCATCCCCCTTCTCCCTTCCAAAACTGTCCCAACTCCCGTTCTGCCCCCACCGCTGCTTGTCCCCGCACACCTCCCGCACCTGTCCTCTCTTCCTGCCCGCCTTCCCCACGCCACACTCCACCAGAGCTGTACAACTTCGGCAGTGTGCTGTTCGGCATGCAGCCTTTCGCCATCGCAGCAGACGGGCAGCACACGCGCATGGGCGCGCTGCAGGGCTCGCCAGAGGTTGCTCTCGTGCACGACTGCGCCATGTCGTCCCGCTTCCTCGTCTTCACCATCCCTCCTTACGCCGCCTCTGCTGGAGACGTTGCTCAGGTGCGCACTTCTTGCCCTATATTGCCCTCTGCTCTGCTCTGACCTCTCTCTGCACTCCTCTGCACTCCTCTGCCCTCCACTGCTCTCCTCTGTTCCATGTAATCTTGTACACATTTCAGTTACCCGTTCCCTTTAAAAGTTTTGTCACCTGCTGATGCGTTACTCACCTGCAGCCCATACAGCTGTTTCTGCTGCACTCTCTCCAAGCCTACTCAGCCCGATTTGTTGTTACGTCTGTGACGCAAACATCACATGGGAGTCTTGTGACGTCTCTGAACCGAACATTAGTGGGGTGGCCTGGGGGGGGGGGGTCACCATACTCGTTATAAGTCCTTCCCTTCCCTACACCCTCCTCATGCCCTATCGCATGCAGATGCCAGCAGGGCAGCAGTCGCTGGGCAACAGGCTCACGTACGACGTGTCTCCGTGCATCCCAACAATCCACCATCCCACCATACTCGTTTTCTTTTATCTTTCCATGTGCCCCCCTTCTTCCCTATCCCAATCACGTGCAGATGCTAGCAGGGAAGGGAAGCAGTCGCTGGGCAACAGGTTCACGTACGACGAGGCTCAGTGCATCTCAACACAACAACATCCCACCATATTTGCCTTCTTTCGTTTTCCATGTGCCCTCTTCGTCCCTTGTCCCCTGCAGATGCTAGCAGGGAAGCAGTCATTGGGCAACAGGTTCACATACGACGAGTCAAAGCCCACTCGAGTGGTGGTGGTGGGAAAGGAGAGTCTGTCCGTGGAGGTGCAGATGGACGTGTGGCCGCCCTTCTCCAACTACCACTTCTGCAACGCTTATGAGGATGGGGACAAGTTGCATGTGCTCTTGACTGTCCTTGTGAGTAGTCTGGCTTCACGTCCCAACTCATCAAAGGCCACGTCGGAGCACCTCTGAGATGCACAGAAAAACAGTGGCCTTCATCTCCTCTGAGATGCACAGAAAAACAGTGGCCTTCATCTCCTCTGAGATGCACAGAAAAACAGTGGCCTTCATCTCCTCTGAGATGCACAGAAAAACAGTGGCCTTCATCTCCTCTGAGATGCACAGAAAAACAGTGGCCTTCATCTCCTCTGAGATGCACAGAAAAACAGTGGCCTTCATCTCCTCTGAGATGCACTGATTGAGCGCCTCTCTGCGTTGTTTTGCTCAGCCGCCCCTTGCCTGCCTTAACATTGCCCATTTCTTGTTGCTCGTTCCCCTTCCCACCAGGACGGCCCACGGGATGGGTTGGAGGGAGTTTTCAAGGACATGTATGGAGAATCATGGCAGCGCAACAACCAATGCTCTGTCTGGGAGCTTGTCATTGACACCAACACCTGGGACCTTCTCTCCCGCCGCCGAGCCATGCACTCCGAACCTGGCACGCGAGGTCCAGTGCTAGGCATGGAGTTTGCCGTGGTTAACCCTGCTTTTACCAGCAGGAAGAGCAGGTATTTGTATGTGCTGGGGTCCATGCCTGAGAGGGATAGGGAGGAGCTGTGGAGCAACGGCGGCTTGGGAGATGGCGTGTGGTATGGAGGAGCAGGAGTGAAGGGCGAGGAGGATGGGGAGGGGGAGGAGGAAGCGGAGGGAGAGGAAGGGGAGGAGGGGAGGGAGGAAGAGGGTGGGGAGGAGGAAGGGAAGAAGATGGCTGAGTATGGGTACTTGAACTGTATTCAGAAGTACGATCTGAAGACGAAGCAAGTAACCACTCACGTCACACCACCTGGCTGCTACGTCAACGAGTGCAGCTTCATTCCGAACAGTGGCACTGATAACGAGGACGCCAGTAAGGAGGACGAGGGGTATCTGGCTGCATTTGTGTATGATGCAGCGCGGCACAGGTCGCATGTGGTGGTGCTGGACGCGAGAGATGTGGCAGCAGCCCCAGTGGCAGTGGTGCATTTACAGTCACATGTGCCATTCCATTTCCATGGCACCTGGGCTGGCAAGGCTACCATGCTGTGATGCATCATGGCACGGGTCGCATGTGCTGTGGTGCTGCTGGGATGCTAAGCATGTGGCCACGCCTCCAGTGGCAGTGGTGCATCTGCAATCACATGTGCCATACCATTTCCATGGTACATGGGCTGCCAAGGCTGCTGTTCATTAAAGTGACTAGTAAGCCATGGCACTACTGTGTCTGTAATGGCAGGCACTAGTCACTCACTGTGTCTGTAACGCATCTGCACTCACAGTGTGCTGCCATTCCCAGCCAAAGCCACCGCCGTGCATCAGGGAGGGCTTTGATTCGCCTGTATAAGCCTGCACTCACATGTGCCTGTATCGTATCGTAGGGTTGTTGTGGCACTAGATAAGGCTGCAGGCTGCTGGCACCAATATCCAACTGCTCAGTCAATGCCATAGTTGCTATCACCCCTTCCAAGGTTTTGTTCTTGGATGTCACGCAGCCATACGTACAGTGGTTGAGGCACTATTACCCCTTCCAAGGCTGAGGCACAGCTGTTGAGCTACACTCACCAGCCACTATTCCTAATCAGTCAACCCTGCTAGAGGCACGAATTTCTCATAATACAGCGCACAGTATCACAGTTGAGGTACTATCTTATTCCATGTATAGCTGGGCAGGATTTCAACTCGCCTCTTAAGTCATTCCACCAAGGGCTAGGTAGGCAGGTGCAGAAGGACACGGCAGTGCGTGCCAGCAAACAAAAAATTTGAGGGGAGATGTGAAGCTGGTACAGCAGCAGAAAGGAGGTGGGTGGCGTGTGACCGCAACACCTGAGAGGCCAGAATGGGTTCACAAGCCTTCCACTCCAATTCCCAAGGTGCCTTCCTTTCCCCCAAGATGCTACTGCCAAGTGTACTGTAGCCTTCAAATTCCACACCTCCCAATTTCACACCTCCCACCTCCCCCTCCCAGCTGCCTGCCAGCAGCCACGTTCCAGGTGCAGTGGGGTGGGGGCGGCTTAGTGGGTAGGAACTCATTCAATGTTGGCCTTTTTCCGCAGGTGGTTCTTAAAGCCCACGATGTCGCCCTCCCACCGCGTCAACGTGCGGTTCTCACACACCCAGATCTCCTTTGCCACCTGCCACAGCACAGCACAGCACAGCGCAGCACAGCACAGCACAGCACAGCACCGCACAGCACCACACCCCATACACACAGATGCGTAAAAAGCGAGTCAGCACACATCACAGCGTCAACTAAATAGACCTGGTAAAAAAGGATTGACGCCCATCCTTGCCAACTAAAAATTTCCTAGTCCTCTGCTCTCGTCCCCATCCTCACCTGGTTAATAAGTCTGAAGTCGTGAGAAACCAGCACCATGCCGCCGTCCCACTCATTCAGTGCCTCAGCCAGCGAGTCGATCGTCTCAATATCCAGATGGTTGGTGGGCTCGTCCAGCAGCAGCATCTGCGGCTGCCGCCATGCCAGCCACGCAAACAGAATCCGCGACCGCTGCCCGTCCGAAAGATTCTTCATCGGCATGATCTGGCATTTCCCGGTCAGCCCGAATCTTCCGATGGCTGCCCGCATCTTCTCCTCCTCCAATCCGGGGTATTCGGACATCATCCATGCGAGCGCACTCTTCTCCAGGTCTAGTTTCTCGCCCAGATGCTGTGAGGAGTAGGGGAGGGGCGAACGGAAGCAAAGCAACAAGCAGCACAATTACTTTGGTAAGGGAAGGGAAGGGAAGGGGGCCAAGAAGGGGTGGTGGTGGGTGAAACAACAGGGCGTGTGAGGGTGTGTGGATGAGTGCATGTGAATGTGCAGGTTCGTGTATAAGTGTGAGGTTCTGTGTGTGTGTGTGTGTGTAGGTGTGCGTGTGATAGAGGTGTACGTGTGTGTGTATGTGTATGTGGGTGTGAATGTCTGTGGAAGTGTGAATATGTGTACAAATGTGGGGGTGTGGATGTGTGTGGGTGTGAAGTGTGCATGGTACTTCACAGGTGCTGGCACTGCCATCTCCAGATTTCATCACCCAATCCCTCACTGTGTTCCACTGATGTTGCATGGGTCGCGTGGGGAGACCTGCCCTGTGTTTTGCAACATTCCCCCACCCTCACACCCATCCACACCCATCCACACCCATCCATACCCATCCACACCCATCCGCACCCACCCACCTGGTGGTCCTGTCCAATCCGGAGGTGGTTATGCTGCTTCACCGCGCCCTCCGTGGGCTGCAATGTGTGCACATACAGACACCAAATCACCCACACCCACACCCACCCACACCCAAGCACCCCCATCCAAACCCACCTGATGATACTGCCCAATCCGAAGGTGGTTATGCCGCTTCACCGCGCCCTCCGTGGGCTGCAAATCGCCCGTCATCAGCTTCAGCAGCGTCGATTTCCCCGCGCCGTTCGGCCCCACCAGCGCAATCCGCGAGTCCAGATCCACACCGAAATCCACCTTCTCATAAATCACATGCTCCGGATCGTACGCAAACGAAACTTCCGAAAACTGCAGCACGGGAGGAGGAAGCTTCCCGACATCCGTAAACCTAAACGTCAGCACGTTATCCCTCTGAACTTTTTCCGTCAGCCCGCCGCGCTCCATCTTCGCCAGAGTTTTCTCCTTGCTCTGCGCCTGCCGAGCCAGCTTCGCCGAACCGTGCCCGAACCTAGCGATATACTCCTTCATATTCGCAATCTGCTCTTGCTCCCACTTCCACTGCTTCATCTGGTTCTCCTCCTGCTCTTTGCGCGTCTGCACGTACGAGTCGTAGTTCCCGGTGTAGAATTTCAGCTTCTTGTTCTGCATGTGGATGATGTTGGTGCACACGCCGTTGAGAAAGTCCTGCGAGTGCGACACCACCACCAGAATGCGGTCGAACTTCTTCAAAGTATCTTCCAGCCACACGCACGCCTCCAGATCTGCACACGCACACCGGGAGGAGGGTAGGGAGGTTCGGGTAAGTCAGACGAGAGTCACTCAAAGGGAGTGTGAGACTGCGACACCACCACCAGAATGCGATCGAACTTCTTCAAAGTATCTTCCAGCCACACGCACGCCTCCAGATCTGCGGGTATGGGGAATGAGAGGGAGAGGAACAAGTGAAAGGGGAGGGCGGAGGGAGAAAGGGGTGAGTGAGACACAGAGGCTGAGAGCGAGTGCGACACCACCACAGCTCCACCAGAATGCGATCGAGCTTCTTTAGCGTGCCCTCCAGCCACACGCACGCCTCCAGATCTGCAGGCAAGGCACGGAGGCCAAGAATTGGGAGAGAGGAGCAGGGGGGTTGGGGTGAGGGAGACGAGAGTGATTCAGAGTGGGAGCAACACCGCGACACAACCACCAGAATGCGGTCGGACTTGTTCAGCGTGTTCTCCAGCCACACGCACGCCTCCAGATCTGCGCGTGGGGAATGGGAAAGGAAGGGGGCGCGAAGTGGGCAGGATCGGATGAGAGAGGCATGAACGAAGCAGGCTGGAGTTCCTCGAAGTCAATGGTTGATAAAAAAGAGGGACGGATCGAGCCGGAGAAGGATTGGGGGGAGGGTTTGGGGGGGCAGAAGATGAAACACACGTGCGGTCTCTCTTACGTGATGAGTTGTGCTGTTGAGGACTTGAGAGACTAAAACAGTATAGCTACCAGTACACTCCCCGGGCCTAGTTGCTCGGTACATTCTCGGCGCATCGTATCTATACTGTTGGCACGTTCTCCGCCTCTCAATGTTGACATGCTTTCCACACTCGAATGGTTCGTCAGCCTGCCGTACGTAGCTTTCTAGTTCGTCAGCCTGCCGTACGTAGCTTTCTAGTTCGTCAGCCTGCCGTACGTACCTATCCGGTTTGTCAGCCTGCCGTACGTACCTAGATGGTTGGTGGGTTCGTCCAGCAGCAGCACGGTGGGCTGCATGAACAGCGCGCGCGCGAGCGCGATGCGCATGCGCCAGCCACCGGAGAAGTCGCGCGTCTTCTTCTGCTGCATCTGCTTCGTGAAGCCCAGCCCGTGCAGGATCTGCGCCGCGCGCACCTCCGCCGTCGCCGAGTCCATGGCGTCCAGCCGCTCGTAGATGCGCTCCAGCTGATCCGCCGCGCCCTCCTGGAAAAAGGGGAAGGGGACGACGGGGATGACGAACGAAAAGGTGGGTGTGAAACTTGAGATGGTTCCATATTTCCCCACACTCAAGCAGAGTCCATCGCGTCCAGCCGGTCGTAGATGCGCTCCAGCTGATCCGCCGCGCCCTTTTGAAATACGGAAGAAAATAACGGGAAGGTGATTCATAAGCTTGAAACCCCTCGATATCGAGCAGAAATTACGCATGTACAAACCCCGCCCGCCTCTTTCTCATGCTTAAACCGATCCTCAACGACGCCCGCCTGCAGAGGGTTACCACATAACCAGACCCACCACCCACTTCCCCTTCACATCCACGTACCATTTCCGCGAGCTCCTCCGCCTCTCACAAGCTTCAAAAGCTCCTCGTCGACGCAGATGACGGGCCTCGCGGGTTACGAAGTAACAACATCAGCCAGTACCTCCCCACTATACCCACGTACCACTTCCGCGAGCTCCTCCGCCTCCTTCTCGAGCTTGAGGCGCTCCTCGTCGACGCAGATGACGGCCTGCAGCGCGGACATGTCGGTGGCCTCGATCTCGTGCGAGAGGAAGTAGATGTCCATGTGGTCCTGCACCGGCACCTCGCGGTTCCCGATCGCCTTCAGCAGCGTCGACTTGCCGCACCCGTTCAGCCCCAGCAGCCCGTACCGCCTGCGCGCCGGGAAGGAAAGGCCGGAAAGCCGTGCAAGGTGAGGCAAAAAAATTAGCCATGAAAAAGAAGGGGGTAGTTGACGAAAAGTGACTGCTTGGTGACCCACGAAGGGGAAGTGTCGATTATGATGGGTGATGGAGATGTGGATAGGCGAGGACGAGATGTGACGGGCGGCTTACCTTCCATAATTGAGCTCGAGAGTTGTGTCTGCGACAAGCTCGTGTCCGTGGAAGTTGAGCGAGAATCCAACGACCTGCTCAGCCAAGTTTCAAGAAAGGT